ATGATCCAGGTGAGGCTGGGGGGGCTGTGAGGCTGAGCATGGGAGGTGCTATGGGGCTGTGGGGCTGAGCAATGTGGTGTGCAGGGGTCAGTGAAGCTGAGTTTGGGGATGCAGGGGCTGTCAGGTTGAGCATGGAGGGATAATTGCTAAGCAGAACTTGCAGACCTGTCTTGCCACAACATTTGTTTGAGACATTAACTCTTTCAGCCTCTCACGAGGGGGCTTTGAGGCTGAGCATGGGAGGTGCATGGGGCTGTGGGGCTGAGCATGGAGCCTGAGGGGTGCGGGGAGTCTGAGGCTGTTGATCCCAAGGGATTGACAGCGTGCAGGGGTGTCAGTGAGGTTCAGGTGGGTTTGAGGCCACTGAGCCAAGCAGGGGGTCTCGGCAGTAGCTGTGGGGCTGGAGAGGGTGTAAACACATGGGAACTGGACCACAGTGGGCCTGCGAGGTGCCAGGCCTTAAAGGCATGGAGTTTAAGGGATGCTGGGGAGCCCGTGCTCACCCAGGGGCTCTCCTTACAGAAGAAGAGCCGGGAGGAGTCAAGTGGCGAGGGCAGCGGGGTGGAGATCCTGGCCAACCGACCCTACAGTGATGGCCCCGGCGGCAGCGGCCAGTACACCCACAAGATCTACCACGTGGGGTCCCACATCCCCAGCTGGTTTCGGGCACTGCTCCCCAAGGCCGCGCTGCAGGTGGAAGAGGAGTCCTGGAATGCCTACCCCTACACCCGCACCAGGTAAGGATCCTTTGGGGGCTGTGGGGTGGGCTGTGGGGCCAGCCATGCTGCCAGGCTCAGCCTTGTCCCCCCCCAGGTACACCTGCCCCTTCGTGGAGAAGTTCTCCATCGAAATCGAGACGTACTACCGGCCGGACGCGGGCCAGCAGACCAATGTCTTCAACCTGAGCGCCGCTGAGAAGAGGCAGAGGATTTTGGGTGCGTACAGCCGCCGGGCAGGACCCGATGCCTGCTGGCGTTCCCACGCGCCGCTCCCCGGTCTGGGTGTGTGGGTGTGCCGTGGTGCCCGAGGGGCTCAGCTCCCCAGCTGGCTGTGGGGGCTCAGCACCTGCAGCACACTTGGCTTTGTTCTCTGTGCTGGCCCTCGTGTTTTGGGGACAGCTGTGGGGGCACCCCAGCAGGGGAAAGCGCCTGTGCCCTGAGCTCCCTGCACACTCCCCTTGGCAACGCTGCTAAACTGGAGTCTGCATTAAAGATATTTTGGGGGGCAATTTTGTCCTTTGCCTGCTTCCCTTGCCTGTGTGTTTGCAGCCCTCCCCTTCCTGGTGCCAGGCTGCTTCCCTCTCTTTCCATATCCCAGCCCCTGTCCCACATGGTCTGGCATGACTTTGCCCTCCTGGCCCCTATCTAGGCATGCATAGGAACCCGCACTGGGCTCCTGAAGGGCATTTTGGATCAGCAGCAGGTGGAGGGGGAACTGGAAAAACATGTCTCTATTTTCCCACCCTCTGCCCTGTTTGCCCTGCTCCCCAGGGCTTCGATCCAGGTCGCTTTCTGGGTTTGGGCCCTTCTGGTGCTTGCCTGGGGGACTGGTGGGCAGAACCAGGAGCCCAGAGTGGGCTTCCTCCTTTGCCAGTGGGTTTGGCCCCGGCTGCTGTGGCCTCCCTTTCCTGGCGGTGCCGATCTGCTCATTTTAGGCGTTGGAGTGCAGAGTGTGACGCGCAGCTTCTTAAAATGGAGACCTAAAATAGGCACTCAGAGGAAATGATTCATCTGACCTATTTCTCTCATTGGCTCTTGCGGCACTGGGGATGTCCGGCCAGGATGCTGGTGGCTTGGGCTGGAGGGGGACAAATTCTGCCCCTGCCACCACCAGACAGCAACCGGGGCTGAGCGGATAGCAGGCAGGACACGGCCCTGGGCCTGCTGCCGGCTGCCCCGCCTGATTTACCTCTCCGGTGCCCATCCCGTGGGATCACGCTGTGTTTTGGGTGGCTGCTGCCTCCCACGGGAAGCAGGGCCAACGTGGGACTGTCCCTGACACAGACTCCACTTTCTTTGCCAGCTCTTGCTTTCACCCCGCTGTCCTGTAGCAGATTGAAACCCCGTCTCACGTTTCAAAGGGCAGTGGAGCAAGCGACATGATCTGGGCTATCAGGGTGAACCTCGGGGATAACTGCCTCCTCCCAAATTTTCTCACAGCAGTAAAAGCAAACAGCCCTGCTGGTTGTGATGCTGCTGGGAGCTGCTCAGGGCTGGCAGGTCCTGTTCCAGCTCCTCACCAGGGCCATCTGAGCTGCTTGGCTGGCCCATCAGACATCATCCTGGGGCTGGGCAGTGGCTGTTCTGTGGCCTCAGAGCATTTCTAGTTTCTGTGGTGCAGCTGCAGAGATGCTTTCCCCTTTGCATGCAGATAACTGATGAGGAACACAGGGCTGTGCTTTGGGCAGGGAGCTGTGGCCCCCCCAGTACCAGCCCCACGGTGTCCTCTTGGCCTCGCTTACCACAAAACTTAGATGCTGCTGGCTGCTTTCCCACCCCATGGTGTGCTTTGCAGGCTAGGGACGGTTGGAGGGGTTGCAGTGCTGTGTGCTTCAGCTGCCCACCATGGAAAAAGCCCCGCTTCAGAACGCCTGCCCTGCAACTGTCCCTTGCTTTCCGAGTCTTAAAAATCCTTTTTTTCCCCCCAATTTTTGTTTTTTTGTTCCAAGCTGGAGAAAGAGGCCAGCAGGCACCTCGGGGGCATCAATAGGGGCAAATAAATGCAGGGTCTGGTAAAACCTAGGGACAGGCTGTGGGGACTGACTAGGGATGGACTGGGGGAACTGACTGGGGACAGCGCTTTGGGAAGGTCCTAGGGGCCAGTGGGGTGCACTGGGACTCCCTGAGGACCCCCCCAAGGCTGGGCTGGAGGGAGCGGGCCTGGAGCAGCCAAACTGCAGGTGGCTTTGTGCAGGGTTGGCCCTGAACAGCCGCCCCCAGGGGTTGTGTTTTTCTGGTTGTTGTTGTCCGTGAGCCCTCCTCCAGTTCTGGGGAGGCTGCCCCCATTTGAGGAGAGTGGGATGTTGCCATCTCGCCCCCCAGCTCAACCGCGGCTCCTCCTGGGTTGCAGGGTGGTTTTACTGTGCTCCGTGCCCTGTTATTGGGGAACCTTTGGGTCTGGCGGATGGGGCAGCGAGCAGGGCTCTTCGCTACGCCGAGCTGCTCAATCTAGCTCATCCTCAGCACCGGCCCCCACGTCCCCTGGGGTCGCTGGGGCCACTCTCCCAGCTGCCAGATCTCCTGGCTAATGCGCGTATGTGTGTCAGCC